TGGCGGGAAATTATTATCTCAGGAACTGTAAAAGCTGGGAAGCTGAAATTCTGCAGTATCCTCTGCCCACATACACAACCACTCACAAATTTAGTTTTTTCGCGCCCTCGGGTACCATATACGGCCCCGTGAAAGTTTTGACGGGAAAATTATCTCGGGAAGCATAAAAGCTAAGAAGCTGAGATTTAATACGATAATGTGCCCCGCGCACATACAACCCCGAAAATTTAAATCCACCCTTCCCACGCGCACAGGTATCATGTGCGGCTCCGTGAAAGTCTTGCCGGGGAGAATTATTTGAGGAACCACGAAGGCTGGAAAGCCGGAAATTTAGGGTATTTTTTATCCCCTGCTTACGTACAACTCCGCAAATTCAAATTCGGCTCCCACGCCTGGGTCTCAACGTCCTCGTGAACGTTTTGGCGGGAAAATTATTACCTGGAGGCCAGAAGAGGTAAGGGGCTGAAAATTTTAGAAGGATGTTTTTTGCTTATGCAAGGTCACACAAACTCAAATTTAGTTCCCAAGTATGCCGAGGTCTCACGTATGACTAAGTAAAAATCTTGGCGCGAAAATCACTCATAAGCCGAAAAATTAAGAGATTGATTTTGGAAGGATATTCACCTGCAAGGTTTTAGTGGGAAATTTCGCAACTTAGGAACCAGACAACACTTCAACAATTTTTGCACAGAACAAAGTGCAATGCAGTGGAAATCCTTAGCAGGCAAACGTTCGCTGGATGGAACTGCGTGAAACGCATGATCGCACCGGCTACTCTGATGCACACAACTATTTGTTTTATGAATGTGGAGTAGCATCCATGAAACTCTCTAGTAGGAAATAATCGAAAAGTAAAAAACACAATGTTTTCAATCTTTTTGAATAAGAATAGTGGAACCGGCCGCAAAAGGGGCAAAAATCCGGAACTCGATGAAGTGCAGGGAATCATTAGCTTGCAAAAACGACAAGTGTCAAGAACTACTTGAAGCAACAACATTTCTTTGCAAATACGTAAATTCGCATCCAAGTACTATAGCTTCCATCAGGTGTCCTTGTCTCGGCAATTTTGTTCCCCTCCTCTTTTCTCCTCCAGAAGCACCGAATCAACAACAGATACACTGAATTCTACTGGGAAGTCCCATCAAATCATGGAGATTTTGCAGGAAACCATAACCTTACCGGTTCCGTTATTCCATCCTCCTTACGCCCCAGTCCACAGCCCTGTTTCCATCCCATTTTTTGAAGCAAATTGAATCCTCGGCTGCTTTCATCCAAAACCTTCGAAGAGGAAGGCTTCTCTTCTGCCAGCGCAATCGTCATTCCTGAAATCGTAAAATGACCCGTACAAACGCTTCCCACTGCAAAAATCTTAAAAAATATAAACAGTTAGCAGCTAGACGTGGTTACTGTCATGCACAGGGCCGCTGTGAGATTGCAGAGAGACGGTGTTAACTTGAAAGAGGCTAAGAGCTGCGTTAATTTTGGCGGGAAAGTAAATATGCGGCATAATCTCCAGTCGCAAAATGGACGCAGGAGTGTTTAAATGGCACAGATTTCACTACATCCTCGAAGAACTTAAGGGGATGAATCGGAAATACTACGCCCTTCTCTACAGCATCAGCGTGTTGGATACGATGACATACGGATGTGAAACGTGGTTGCTGGTGTAAGCAGAACAGCTGTGAGAAAACAGTTTTGTAGCGAAGATTATTCGGAGTGCCTCTTTATGAACATGTGATATTACCGATGCGCTCCCAAACACACAAACAGCACGAAATTCGACAGCCTGGTAATCGCTGAGCTCGGCGTTTGGGAGCGTACCAGTAATATCATTAACATCGGAACCTCCCACATCGACTATTCAGGCAATCCTGGCGATCCTTGACAATATATTTATTACCTGGTAACGGCTTCGCCATGCAGTTGGCATATATTGAGTCATCTTTATTATGCTTAATAACACGCGGCAAATTTCGTTCCTTTTTTTGATAGCTATATTTAGAACGGCCTTCTTCATCCTGAAAACGGAAAATTTCCGATGTCATTATGATTCATTTAAATGACAAGCGCAGCTACTTCAAGAGGATCTTTCCACGACCTGCCCTTCATTTGACACTTGTGCACTTTTATGCGCCTTTACATAAGCTGCAAAAACATGGGAGAAAAATGATATCCGACTGTGTATTTCTATCTTTTCTCTAAAAAAATCGGTCATAAAAGTGTAGATTTCATGGAAGCGAAGCTGAAATTTCGTGGATGCATACACACAAATGGGACTAAAACATGGATCAATCTCTTCCCCCTAACTTTTTTCACATCTAAGTACAGGCTAATGTTACAGTTCGAGAAGCAAAACGATATATGCTGGAATGTTTGCAGGACGAAAACACCGAAACATTCGATGCGAACAGCTTGATTCAGTTCCCTTGATTATTCTCGTCTAGAAGATCAAGTCTGATTCCAACTCACTTTTTAACTGCTGGATGAAATGAATTAGAAAATGGCAATTTAGTCGAATACTGAAAGCATATCAGGCGACCCGAACTGATCTTCTAAGTATTACTGGCTTTTTGTCTTTGACCATATGTCAAAAAATACTCCTCAAGTACTAAAATTTCAAGGTAAAGCACGTTAGGGATCCGAAATTTTGGCACAGCTTATGTGGCGAATCTGTTGAAAGTCATCCTGCGGATTTTCGACATGCATAAGCCTCTCATCATCCTGTTGTAATAATGCAAAACGCCATCGTCTATTTCAAGTGCTCGTACGCATGCTAATAAATTTCGTACGCATGCTTCTGTAAGTAGCCCTGTGATTCAACGGCAGATGCGCATCTCTGGTTGCTAAATCATGAAAGCTCCTGTTTTTCCGGTTTAAATTTCTGTTTTTCCTCTTTCTCAAAAAGTCGCGTGAGACTTCCATTACTTTCAAATTTAAATTTCCCGGATGGTGCCTCCAAGTAAAAAAAAAAAAAAAAAACATGGAACGAAAACTCCGTTTTTAAAAAGCTCGTATGGAGGAGCGAAATGTAAAACTTTGCATTTCGTTGACTAAGCATATCTGATGGGACAAAAATTTAGCCAAAAAAGTGCCAAAATTGACTAAGAAGCAAAAAACTTCAACATATGTGAGTAAAACTAATGTTAGAACAATAGGAGGTCCCGGAGTTCAGCGAAGAAAAACAGAAGTTTCCGAGAGAAGAGTAAGGAAAGAGGCGAAGTGGGGGGCGAGGGGCGAGGGGGGAGAAGAAGGGGAGTGGGAAAGAAGAAAGAGACAAGGAACCGCCTTATTCTGAATAAACAAGAAGCAGTAACTTGCATTATAAATTCCGTACTGCTTTTTGATATCCTGTAAAATTCTCCTCCTTTGTGTCTCCTTCGAAATTTTTTCATCAGGAAGTGAATTGCTCAATCCGGAAACCGTTCGGGAGCTTTTCAACAGAGGCTGCTCACATGCGCTACACGTATTCGTCCCTTCAATAGAGAATGCTCAAGAGAGAGGAAGAACCAGCAGTGGCGGTTTCTCCTGCCGCCGCACTGAGTTTCACATTATCAGAACGAAAAATAAGCTGTAAGATTAAAATGCGAAAAAAGGATTGCGAGGATGCGAGTCCCCCAAATGAAGCATATTTGCCGACACAAAACTTCATGGAATAATAAAAAACTGCATTCAGAAACGCCAAAATTTTGCCATTTCTGCATAAATGAGATATAAGCAAGAAGTGCCAGCATAACAACTCTATACCTGCCACTTTCCTGAGACCTCAAAATGGTCGTGTTCCCTTCTCGAAAATACAACTCCTCGACATGCGCTGTCCACCGAGAATGTCAGCAAAGTCAGTAATGCGCCCCGTCCCCTGAATTTTACCTCCACAGCAGCGATGAATACTTTGTAGTAAACGAAGGGAAAAGACTATAAATTTGAGAGAGCAGCGATACCATGATGGATATGAACCAGAAGCGTATGCGCCTCAAATTGCCACTCATCGCCATGCTCGACAGCTGCCGGTGCAATGCAGTTCAACTTCTGCCCATTAATGGAAATTTCTGCTCCATCCGCTGCTGCCCTCACAAAGTACTTCTGCTTTTCTTCGTCATAACTAACATCAGCAATAATCTGAAAAAGCGGTATGATCTGATCACTGGATGAGAAATCATTCACTGTCCGAATCAGCAGTGCTGTCCAGGAAATTAGTGTGGGGCTCAACATACATTCATGCCGGTAAATAGCAAATGACAGCGAGAAATGTGAGAATCGGGGAGAAAAAGCGATTATACCAGAGCCTTCCTAAAACCATCTGCAGCGGTATTTACTGGTGGCTTCATGCCATGCAAATCCATATGTTTAAAAGTCATGATTCAAAAGCAGCTGAATCCAAGAACTGCAGGACTAGTCGGTGTTAACAAAGCAACCAAATCTAAGAATAGAAATTTTTATGCATGCTAACCATGCATAAAAACTTCTATTTTTACCAGAAGTAACACACTTGTTTCCAACCACCTCCTCCCTCCTCTCCTCTCCAAGCAAGAAATGAAAGAATCTTTTCATCAAAAAAATAAACGGACTTTAATGTTCGCGCAAAACCTAATCATGAGCATCCTAGAAAATTTTACTCACGGTATATGGGCACACTAGCTGGTGTTGAGACAAAGCGATGCAACAGCCCTGTCAGCTTCAAGCGTGCCTAGAGTACATTAAACCGTGTTCATTTCGACCAAGACTGGGTGTCGGCCTTGCAAGCAGGTGATGGTGCAGTGAGGATCATAAGAAATGCACAAAACGTGAGAAACACAACTGTAGGCTGTACGACGCGGCACGGGGAAACAAGTATGGAATGAAACAAATATTAAAAAAAAACAAGCTCAATACAATGCCCGGTCTACGGTGGAGCGCATCGCTAATCGGAAGGCAACGACCGGCTAAGAATCACCGATGAAGCAAGCCGCTGCAGGAAAGTCCGATTTTTCAAGCATAAACGTATAAGTCGCTATCGAGGGATCATCTCATGGAGCAATTTCTGCAATGAACAAACAGAATATCATGCCGCGTATTCGAAACTCGGCTACAGGTCGAATATATTGCAAGCTGGAAGGACCTCAGTTTCCTTCTTCAGTGGCAAGGGTATATCACAGCTTGACGTTGCTCCAATTTTAGCACCGGAAATAGTGACCACGTACAAAGCACCGCTGCTCTGGTTAACAATACGTAGACATGGAGCGTATTCCATTCTTTCGTCTAAAAACATTAGGAGTTTCTTTTTGGATAAGTATTTTAATATTTCAAGCAAAGTATTTCTTAAAATTCCCTATCAGATGGAAAACAAGCGAACTCCGTTGTCGCCACAACAGGAGTAAAATCGCTTTGCCGATACTGGCGGACATTTTAACAAAAGTGGTACTAACAAGAAAGAGAACGATCACTCGGGCTGCTTCCAAAGACAGAAATATTAAACCCAGGCTGGAACGCACCGGGCGGGCCCGTGCGATCATGCGTTTTTGCGCCGGACTTGAAGTAC